GAGTATGCTTCCTACCCGTGACCTTTCCAGTGAAGCTTGCCACTCTGCTCGAAGCAGCACTGTCTTCAAATTTTCCGTTCCATGTGTATGCATCTTGTTCTCTAGTCACTGGAAGGCTGTAGTGACCGCCTCCATTCTCTTGCTAGAGGTTGTGGTATCTCACGCGAGGCTGACTTGCACTAAAGATTTTCCATGGGCTTTCGCTACGAACCCCCAGACACTTCTCTTTATTCTAAACATCGAACCATGTACGCCGATAATCAGATCATCTTGGTAAGGCTTGGAACATTAGCTCAAACATCTGTTGTTCAAAGAACACCACAAGACCGTTACATTTCTGAGTTGACTACAGCATTCATCGCTGTACACCAGTCGATCAACTTATCTACTGTTGCCAGTAACTCTTGAGCTATTTTCTCTCTCCCCTTCCCATATACGTGAACACCATTTGCAAATGTAAATATTCTGCCAACCCCAGGCGTTTCCTGGCTCGCAATCTTGCTCTTAAAAACATTGAACAGTTCAGGTGAAACTGCTGATCCCTTTGGTAATCCTGGAGCATGGCTCGGAGGTCCATGAACCCAGGCGGAGAGCTACCCGACGAGTATACAAAACAGCTGCTTTTCATTTCACCGACCAAGGACAGACTCCCTTCTCCATAAGTGCTGTCATCAAAACACTGTATCTGACTCTGTTCCTACCTGTTCTGGAAACCTTTCAAGGCGTGAAAGACAAACCTGGCTGCATTAGACCATGTGCCCTTTCCTGGCAGGTAACTGCCCAAACCTCGTAGAAGAAGCTTTCTCTGTTTCAAAAATTCTTGTAGCTTACCTGCCACTATCTTCTCCAGCACTTTCCCAAGGGTGTTTTGTAGGGATATGATCCTAAAGCCGCTAAATGTTGAATGATTCTTGTCAAGCTTAGGAAGTGGAATCAGGTAGCTGTGCATTCACTCTTCTGGGACTGAAGCTGTCCTAACACTCTAGTTGAAGCAAGCAGTAATCTCCAACAGGTCTGCATCACTCATGTCTTTCATGTGGAAATATCTAACCCCGTCGGGTCTAGGTACAGCGTCTTTCGCCCTTTTCAGAACACGTTTTACATCTTCCACCTGTATGATGTCTTCATAATGTTTGTCCTTAATAGTGGCTACCAGATCTGTATCTGTCTGTATCAAACTGTATCTCTGTTGTCTCCGTCAATGTGGTCTGTATATGAAACGAATTTCTTCAGGAAAGCCTTCTCCTTCTCTTTGTCTGTGGTTTACGGGCCATGACCGCGCAGAAGCAGAAGAAAGCAGTTTCAGCTTGCTATCCCAAGTTCAGCTCGGCTTTATTGATATTGGCCAGTCACCGGTTAAAGTGTCGATCGAAGTGTACAGTAGGACACACAGCCACACGTAGTTGCGCTTCAGCACCAGAGCACTATCTAGCCAAGAACTATCTACACCTCTCCGTGGTCTTCCTAAAATCAAGTTTCCATTCTTGTGACATGACTAACGTAGTTGTGATTGATGCTTCTCTCGAAGTGGCACATCTAGGACTTTCATCCGGTGTTGACAGCGATGAACGCTAAACAGATCTATACAAGTACCAGTCTATCATCAGAAGCAGAAGAAAGGTCCTTTGTTCATTTGTGTCTGTTGAGCTTTGAATTCAGCTTCAAGTGTTGACAAAGAAGCTCTTTAAATCCATTAAAACGTCCATGATATTTTCAGAAATCTATGACGGCACTCTCAAGGCAGCACCGCTGACCAAAAGCACCAGTGTCCAGTGCTGCAAGGTGATCTTCAACTCGTTGACCAAGTCACAGCAAGGGGTGATTCTCAACAAGCAGGCGCCACTCAACTGTGTGGCTTCTTCGGGGGCTGGTTGTGGGGTAGGTTTTTGTGTGTGTGTGTGTGCTTGTGGTTTGTTCATGTATGTTTATGTCGTACGTGTGGACTCGTTCTTGTAGTTTTTCAAGGTCTGGTTGTGTTGTACGTCCGGGCTGGTTCTTAGGGTTTTTCAAGGTTCTGTTCTGTTGTACGCCCGAACTTGTTCTTAGTGACCTATTCAGGGTCTGGTCAGGTTTTACGTCTGTGGGTTGCTCTTGTGTTCAGGAAAAGTGTTCAGGTCTGGTTATGTTCTACGTGTGGACTCGTTCTTGGGGATTTTCAAGGTCTGATTGTGTTGTACATCTGGGCTCGTTCTTGTGGATTTATACAGGGTCTGCTCATGTCTGCAGGCTGCTCTTGTGTTCAGGTCTGGTTATGGTCTGAGTACGGGCTCGTTCTTGGGGTTTGCTCAGGTCTGGCTGCGTTGTGCGTCTGGGCATGTTCATGCAGCTTGTTCAGTGTCTGGTCATGATGTACGTCTTTGGACCAGTGCTCATGGTGTGTTCAGTGTCTGGTCATGATGTACGTCTTTGGACCAGTGCTCATGGTGTGTTCAGTGTCTGGCTGTGCGGTTTCACTGATCCTTGACTGCAGGGGTTCAATTTCTAAGGTGGAGATTGTTTTTTGGTAATTAAAAGGTAACAGAAAAAAAAAAAATGGAATTTGTTGTTTTCGGTCATTATTACGAGAGTAGAGGAGTGAAAGAAATTTGTGTCTTACCAGCAAAGTAAGCAATGTAGCCAATCATCACAGGGAGCTTTGAAGAGCCTGTATGTCAGCTGTTATTGATTGGTCAGGGTGTTACCGGGGATTGGAGTGGGCTGGGCGGAGTTAGTGGGCTGGCGTGTCAGTGTTCTAGTTTTTGTTATTTGTTCAGTATGTGATGTTGTTAAGTATTTGTGGGCTGGTTTCTTGTAATATGTAAGACATTTGCAACTGCATGTTGTTATGTATATATTTTTGTTGCTCTTTTAGGTTTCATGTCTTTCTGGATTGTTAGTATGTTAGTTCGTGTTTTCTTGTCATTACTACTGCTTTTGTCACTGTTACCACCACAACTACCACTGCCATCATGATTACCACCACCACAACTATCACCACCGTCATGATTACCACCACCACAACTACCACCACCGTCATGATTACCACCACCACAACTACCACCACCGTCATGATTACCACCACCACAACTACCATCACCGTCATGATTATCACCACCACAACTACCATCACCGTCATGATTACCACCACCACAACTACCATCACCGTCATGATTATCACCACCACAACTACCATCACCGTCATGATTATCACCACCACAACTACCATCACCGTCATGATTATCACCACCACAACTACCATCACCGTCATGATTATCACCACCACAACTACCATCACCGTCATGATTATCACCACCACAACTACCATCACCGTCATGATTATCACCACCACAACTACCATCACCGTCATGATTATCACCACCACAACTACCATCAACGTCATGATTACCACCACCACAACTACCATCACCGTCATGATTATCACCACCACAACTACCATCACCGTCATGATTACCACCACCACAACTACCATCACCGTCATGATTACCACCACAACTACCATCACCGTCATGATTACCACCACCACAACTACCACTGCCATCATGATTATCACCACCACAACTACCATCACCGTCATGATTATCACCACCACAACTACCACTGCCATCATGATTACCACCACCACAACTACCACTGCCATCATGATTATCACCACCACAACTACCATCACCGTCATGATTACCACCACCACAACTACCACTGCCATCATGATTACCACCACCACAACTACCACTGCCATCATGATTACCACCACCACAACTACCACTGCCATCATGATTACCACCACCACAACTACCATCACCGTCATGATTACCACCACCACAACTACCACTGCCATCATGATTACCACCACCACAACTACCCAATCACCGTCATGATCATTACCACCACCACAACTACCATCACCGTCATGATTACCACCACCATCCACAACTACCACTGCCATCATGATTACCACCACCACAACTACCACTGCCATCATGATTACCACCACCACAACTACCATCACCGTCATGATTACCACCACCACAACTACCACTGCCATCATGATTACCACCACCACAAACTACCACTGCCATCATGATTACCACCACCACAACTACCACTGCCATCATGATTACCACCACCACAACTACCATCACCGTCATGATTACCACCACCACAACTACCACTGCCATCATGATTACCACCACCACAACTACCATCACCGTCATGATTACCACCACCACAACTACCACTGCCATCATGATTAACACCACCACAACTACCATCACCGTCATGATTACCACCACCACAACTACCACTGCCATCATGATTACCACCACCACAACTACCACTGCCATCATGATTACCACCACCACAACTACCACTGCCATCATGATTACCACCACCACAACTACCACTGCCATCATGATTACCACCACCCACTGCCATCATGATTACCACCACCACAACTACCTACCACTGCCATCATGATTACCACCACCACAACTACCACTGCCATCATGATTACCACCACCACAACTACCACTGCCATCATGATTACCACCACCACAACTACCACTGCCATCATGATTACCACCACCACAACTACCACTGCCATCATGATTACCACCACCACAACTACCACTGCCATCATGATTACCACCACCACAACTACCATCACCGTCATGATTATCACCACCACAACTACCATCACCGTCATGATTATCACCACCACAACTACCATCACCGTCATGATTATCACCACCACAACTACCATCAACGTCATGATTACCACCACCACAACTACCATCACCGTCATGATTATCACCACCACAACTACCATCACCGTCATGATTACCACCACCACAACTACCATCACCGTCATGATTACCACCACAACTACCATCACCGTCATGATTACCACCACCACAACTACCACTGCCATCATGATTATCACCACCACAACTACCATCACCGTCATGATTATCACCACCACAACTACCACTGCCATCATGATTACCACCACCACAACTACCACTGCCATCATGATTATCACCACCACAACTACCATCACCGTCATGATTACCACCACCACAACTACTACTGCCATCATGATTACCACCACCACAACTACCACTGCCATCATGATTACCACCACCACAACTACCACTGCCATCATGATTACCACCACCACAACTACCATCACCGTCATGATTACCACCACCACAACTACCACTGCCATCATTATTACCACCACCACAACTACCATCACCGTCATGATTACCACCACCACAACTACCATCACCGTCATGATTACCACCACCACAACTACCACTGCCATCATGATTACCACCACCACAACTACCACTGCCATCATGATTACCACCACCACAACTACCATCACCGTCATGATTACCACCACCACAACTACCACTGCCATCATGATTACCACCACCACAACTACCACTGCCATCATGATTACCCACCACCACCACAACTACCCAACTGCCATCATGATTACCACCACCACAACTACCATCACCGTCATGATTACCACCACCACAACTACCACTGCCATCATGATTACCACCACCACAACTACCATCACCGTCATGATTACCACCACCACAACTACCACGACATCATGATTACCACCACCACAACTACCATCACCGTCATGATTACCACCACCACAACTACCACTGCCATCATGATTACCACCACCACAACTACCACTGCCATCATGATTACCACCACCACAACTACCACTGCCATCATGATTACCACCACCACAACTACCACTGCCATCATGATTACCACCACCACAACTACCACTGCCATCATGATTACCACCACCACAACTACCACTGCCATCATGATTACCACCACCACAACTACCACTGCCATCATGATTACCACCACCACTACTACCACTGCCATCATGATTACCACCACCACAACTACCACTGCCATCATGATTACCACCACCACAACTACCACTGCATCATGATTACCACCACCACAACTACCACTGCCATCATGAATTACCACCATCATTACCACAACTACCAACTGCCATCATGATTACCACCACCACAACTACCACTGCCATCATGATTACCACCACCACAACTACCACTGCCATCATGATTACCACCACCACAACTACCACTGCCATCATGATTACCACCACCACAACTACCATCACCGTCATGATTACCACCACCACAACTACCACTGCCATCATGATTACCACCACCACAACTACCATCACCGTCATGATTACCACCACCACAACTACCACTGCCATCATGATTACCACCACCACAACTACCACTGCCATCATGATTACCACCACCACAACTACCACTGCCATCATGATTACCACCACCACAACTACCATCACCGTCATGATTACCACCACCACAACTACCACTGCCATCATGATTACCACCACCACAACTACCATCACCGTCATGATTACCACCACCACAACTACCACTGCCATCATGATTACCACCACCACAACTACCATCACCGTCATGATTACCACCACCACAACTACCACTGCCATCATGATTACCACCACCATAACTACCATCACCGTCATGATTACCACCACCACAACTACCATCACCGTCATGATTACCACCACCACAACTACCATCACCGTCATGATTACCACCACCACAACTACCATCACCATCATGATTACCACCACCACAACTACCATCACCGTCATGATTACCACCACCACAACTACCACTGCCATCATGATTACCACCACCACAACTACCACTGCCATCATGATTACCACCACCACAACTACCACTGCCATCATGATTACCACCACCACAACTACCATCACCGTCATGATTACCACCACCACAACTACCATCACCGTCATGATTACCACCACCACAACAACTACCACTGCCATCATGATTACCCACCACACCACAACTACCATCACCGTCATGATTACCACCACCACAACTACCACTGCCATCATGATTACCACCACCACAACTACCACTGCCATCATGATTACCACCACCACAACTACCATCACCGTCATGATTATCACCACCACAACTACCATCACCGTCATGATTACCACCACCACAACTACCACTGCCATCATGATTACCACCACCACAACTACCATCACCGTCATGATTACCACCACCACAACTACCACTGCCATCATGATTACCACCACCACAACTACCATCACCGTCATGATTACCACCACCACAACTACCACTGCCATCATGATTATCACCACCACAACTACCATCACCGTCATGATTATCACCACCACAACTACCACCACCGTCATGATTAGAACCACCACAACTACCATCACCGTCATGATTATCACCACCACAACTACCATCACCGTCATGATTATCACCACCACAACTACCACTGCCATCATGATTACCACCACCACAACTACCACTGCCATCATGATTATCACCACCACAACTACCATCACCGTCATGATTATCACCACCACAACTACCATCACCGTCATGATTACCACCACCACAACTACCATCACCGTCATGATTATCACCACCACAACTACCACTGCCATCATGATTACCACCACCACAACTACCACTGCCATCATGATTACCACCACCACAACTACCATCACCGTCATGATTATCACCACCACAACTACCACTGCCATCATGATTACCACCACCACAACTACCACTGCCATCATGATTATCACCACCACAACTACCATCACCGTCATGATTATCACCACCACAACTACCATCACCGTCATGATTACCACCACCACAACTACCATCACCGTCATGATTATCACCACCACAACTACCACCACCGTCATGATTAGAACCACCACAACTACCATCACCGTCATGATTATCACCACCACAACTACCATCACCGTCATGATTACCACCACCACAACTACCACTGCCATCATGATTATCACCACCACAACTACCACTGCCATCATGATTACCACCACCACAACTACCACTGCCATCATGATTATCACCACCACAACTACCACTGCCATCATGATTATCACCACCACAACTACCATCACCGTCATGATTATCACCACCACAACTACCATCACCGTCATGATTATCACCACCACAACTACCATCACCGTCATGATTATCACCACCACAACTACCATCACCGTCATGATTATCACCACCACAACTACCATCACCGTCATGATTACCACCACCACAACTACCATCACCGTCATGATTATCACCACCACAACTACCACCACCGTCATGATTAGAACCACCACAACTACCATCACCGTCATGATTACCACCACCACAACTACCATCACCGTCATGATTAGAACCACCACAACTACCATCACCGTCATGATTATCACCACCACAACTACCACCACCGTCATGATTATCACCACCACAACTACCATCACCGTCATGATTATCACCACCACAACTACCACCACCGTCATGATTAGAACCACCACAACTACCACTGCCATCATGATTACCACCACCACAACTACCACCACCGTCATGATTATCACCACCACAACTACCATCACCGTCATGATTATCACCACCACAACTACCATCACCGACATGATTATCACCACCACAACTACCATCACCGTCATGATTACCACCACCACAACTACCACTGCCATCATGATTACCACCACCACAACTACCACTGCCATCATGATTACCACCACCACAACTACCATCACCGTCATGATTACCACCACCACAACTACCATCACCGTCATGATTACCACCACCACAACTACCACTGCCATCACGATTACCACCACCACAACTACCATCACCGTCATGATTACCACCACCACAACTACCACTGCCATCATGATTACCACCACCACAACTACCACTGCCATCATGATTACCACCACCACAACTACCATCACCGTCATGATTACCACCACCACAACTACCATCACCGTCATGATTACCACCACCACAACTACCATCACCGTCATGATTATCACCACCACAACTACCATCACCGTCATGATTACCACCACCACAACTACCATCACCGTCATGATTACCACCACCACAACTACCACCACCGTCATGATTACCACCACCACAACTACCATCACCGTCATGATTATCACCACCACAACTACCATCACCGTCATGATTATCACCACCACAACTACCATCACCGTCATGATTATCACCACCACAACTACCACTGCCATCATTATTACCACCACCACAACTACCATCACCGTCATGATTACCACCACCACAACTACCATCACCGTCATGATTACCACCACCACAACTACCATCACCGTCATGATTACCACCACCACAACTACCATCACCGTCATGATTACCACCACCACAACTACCATCACCGTCATGATTATCACCACCACAACTACCACTGCCATCATTATTACCACCACCACAACTACCATCACCGTCATGATTATCACCACCACAACTACCATCACCGTCATGATTATCACCACCACAACTACCACTGCCATCATTATTACCACCACCACAACTACCATCACCGTCATGATTACCACCACCACAACTACCATCATTGTCATGATTATCACCACCACAACTACCATCACCGTCATGATTACCACCACCACAACTACCACTGCCATCATGATTACCACCACCACAACTACCATCACCGTCATGATTACCACCACCACAACTACCATCACCGTCATGATTATCACCACCACAACTACCATCACCGTCATGATTATCACCACCACAACTACCATCATAACTACAACCATCACGAAAACAATAACTGCTACTGCCATTACTGCTGCCGCCGCTATCACCGCAACTAGAATCACAGTCTATGATGCTATTACCACCACCACCACCACCACCACCACCACCACCACCACCACCACCATCACCACTAGTACCATCACCAATACCACCACCACTTACACGCCGCTATAGAAAAACAATCACTATTGCTGTCACTGATACTACTACTGCTCGATCAGCAACTACACTCTCTACCAGTTGTTTCTTTCTTTCTTTCCTCTGCCTGTTTTCTTTTCGTCTATCTTTTCTTTTTTCCCCGCTATTGACTTCTTTGTCGATTGACTAAATGCTACCGTCGTAATCAGTTATCCACCATCCATCCATACATGCCGTACATGCCCTCAAGTAACATCTTAATGTTCTTCAACAGCTGGGCGACCTGGGAGCTCCCGTCTACTGCAGGAACAGCGCCGGGGAGCCGGTGGTGGTCGGTCTGGCTGCTTCTTTTCCGTGTGAGAACGAGGGAACATTTGTCATATACGACCTCACAAAAAGCGATTCAGGCTTCAAATTTGGGATCAGCGCCTAACGATTCACTGCAGTGAAAAGATGTATAAAGGATATGACAATTAGAAATAAACGTTGCAGCTAGAAAGCCTCCATCAGAAAAATAAATGTTGACTACACCTTTGGAAAGATAATCACATTTACAGTATCAAGTAGTAACAATATATCAACAGTTCGTAACGTACACTTCTACTTACAAATAAGCATATTATGTAATATGTAGTTGTACCACATACATATGTAACACATAAATATGTTACACATAAATATGTAGCACATAAATATGTAACACATACATATATCTATTCACAGTAGTAATGGGACATAAATGTGTCTTTAAATAAAGACGTACTAATGCATAGGAGGATCTGTTCTAATTCCTCCTTCTTCTTTTTCTTATTCTTCTTTGCAGTCACTGGCTGTAAACTCAGGCGGACAGTTCTGGTAGTTCGTCCACTTCTAGACTTTGGTCTTGTTCCAGGTCGGGGTTCGCTCCCTGGCGGAGCCAGACTTTTTTCAAAAAATGACCTTGACTCACAGGTCGACCCAGCCTTGAGTGGGGACCGGGTGCAACCCCGGGAGGTAAAGGGGGCCAGCGTGATGCTGACCACATCACCCCTCTTGTGTCGATTGGTCTATAAAAATATAGGTCGAGCCCTCCCTGCCCTATACACCTAAAGGCGAGGAAAGGGACTACTTTGAGTTCATTTTTAGTCGAGGTTCAATTCCACTGCAGTCGGGTTTCCCCAAACTTGCTCTATTCCTGTGCCAGTGCGAATCATTGTGGCATTTGAAAACAAACAAATACCGGGACAATCCAGAAAAATGCACACACAGTAAGTGTGTATTTCAGGTGCTAGAGACGCTAACTCAAACAATCGCCACCAGAAGTAGTTCACAAAATGTACTCTCTGTCCTAATGGTGAGCCAACAACGGAAATGAGCAGTCACCACGTTCTAAGTCTAGAGTAGTTATAACTGTGGCCGGAATGACATCTGCCCCATCCTAGTGTGTGGCCAGAATGACAGCTGCCCCATCCTAGTTTGAGGCTGGGATGACAGCTGCACCATTCTAGTGTGTGGCCGGAATGACAGCTGTACCATCCTAGTGTGTGGCCGGGATGATAGCTGCACCATCCTAATGTGTGTCTGTGACGACAGCTGTACCATCCTAGTGTGTGTCTGTGATGACAGCTGCACAATCCTAGTGTGTGGCCGGGATGACAGCTGCCTTATCCTAGTGTGTGTCTGGGATGACAGCTGTACCATCCTAGTGTGTGTCTGGGATACAGCTGTACCATCCTAGTGTGTGTCTTGGATGATAGCTCCACCATCCTAGTGTGTGTCTGTGATGATAGCTGCACCATCCTAGTGTGTGTCTGTGATGACAGCTGCACCATCATAGTGTGTGTCTGTGATGACAGCTGCACCATCCTAGTGTGTGTCTGTGATAATAGCTCCAGCATCCTAGTGTGTGGCCGGAATGACAGCTGCACCATCCTAGTGTGTGTCTTGGATGACAGCTCCACCATCCTAGTGTGTGGCCGTGATGATAGCTCCACCATCCTAGTGTGTGTCTGTGATGATAGCTCCACCATCCTAGTGTGTGTCTGGGATGATAGCTCCACCATCCTAGTGTGTGGCCGTGATGATAGCTCCACCATCCTAGTGTGTGGCCGTGATGATAGCTCCACCATCCTAGTGTGTGTCTGTGATGATAGCTCCACCATCCTAGTGTGTGTCTGTGATGATAGCTCCACCATCCTAGTGTGTGGCCGTGATGATAGCTCCACCATTATAGTGTGTGTCTGTGATGATAGCTCCACCATCCTAGTGTGTGTCTGTGATGATAGCTCCACCATCCTAGTGTGTGTCTGTGATGATAGCTCCACAATCCTAGTGTGTGTCTGTGATGATAGCTGCACCATCCTAGTGTGTGTCTGTGATGACAGCTGCACCATCCTAGTGTGTGTCTGTGATGACAGCTGCATCATCCTAGTGTGTGTCTGTGATGATAGCTCCAGCATCCTAGTGTGTGGCCGGAATGACAGCTGCACCATCCTAGTGTGTGTCTGTGATGATACCTCCACCATCCTAGTGCGTGTCTGGGATGACAGCTGCACCATCCTAGTGTGTGTCTGTGATGACAGCTGCATCATCCTAGTGTGTGTCTGTGATGATAGCTCCAGCATCCTAGTGTGTGGCCGGAATGACAGCTGCACCATCCTAGTGTGTGTCTGTGATGATACCTCCACCATCCTAGTGCGTGTCTGGGATGACAGCTCCACCATCCTAGTGTGTGGCCGGAATTACAGCTGCACCATCCTAGTATGTGTCTGGGATGACAGCTGCACCATCCTAGTGTGTGGCCGGGATGATAGCTGCACCATCCTAGTGTGTGGCCGGGATGACAGCTGCACCATCCTATTGTGTGTCTGGGATGATAGCTGCACCATCCTAGTGTGTGGCCGGGATGACATCTGCACCATCCTAGTGTGCGGCCGGGATAGCAGCTGCACCATCCTAGTGTGTGGCTCGGATGACAGCTCCACCATCCTAGTGTGTGGCCGGGATGAGAGCTGCACCATCCTAGTATGTGGCCGGAATGATAGCTGCACCATCCTAGTGTGTGGCCTGGATGACATCTGCACCATCCTAGTGTGTGGCCGGGATGACATCTGCACCATCCTAGTGTGTGGCTGGAATGACAGCTGCACCATCCTAGTGTGTGGCTGGGATGACATCTGCACCATCCTAGTGTGTGTCCGCGATGACAGCTGCCCCATCCTAGTGTGCGGCCGGGATGACATCTGCACCATCCTAGTGTGTGTCCGTGATGACAGCTGCACAATCCTAGTGTGTGGCCAGGCTGATAGCTGCCCCATTCTAGTGTGTGGCCGGAATGACATCTGCACCATCCTAGTGTGTGGCCGAAATGACAGCTGCACCATCCTAGTGTGCGGCCGTGATGACAGCTGCACCATCCTAGTGTGCGGCCAGGATGACAGCTGCACCATCCTAGTGTGTGACCAGGATGACAGCTGCACCATCCAAGTGTGTGGCCGGAATGACAGCTGCACCATCCTAGTGGGTGGTCGGGATGACAGCTGCACTATCCTAGTGTGTGGCCGGGATGACAGCTGTACCATCCTAGTGTGTGCCTGTGATGACAGCTGCACCATCCTAGTGTGTGGCCGGAATGACAGCTGCACCATCCTAGTGTGTGGCCGGGATGACAGCTGCCTTATCCTAGTGTGTGTCTGTGATGATAGCTCCACCATCCTAGTGTGTGTCTGGGATGACAGCTGTACCATCCTAGTGTGTGTCTGGGATGACAGCTGCACCATCCTAGTGTGTGTCTGTGATAACAGCTGCACCATCCTAGTGTGTGTCTGTGATGACAGCTGCACCATCCTAGTGTGTGGCCGGAATGACATCTGCACCATCCTAGTGTGTGTCTGGGATGACAGCTGCACCATCCTAGTGTGTGGCCGGAATGACATCTGCACCATCCTAGTGTGTGTCTGGGATGATAGCTCCACCATCCTAGTGTGTGGCCGGAATGACATCTGCACCATCATAGTGTGTCTCTGTGATAATAGCTCCACCATCCTAGTGTGTGTCTGTGATGATAGCTCCACCATCCTAGTGTGTGTCTGTGATGATAGCTCCACCATCCTAGTGTGTGTCTGTGATGATAGCTCCACCATCCTAGTGTGTGTCTGTGATGATAGCTCCACCATCCTAGTGTGTGTCTGTGATGATAGCTCCACCATCCTAGTGTGTGTCTGGGATGATAGCTCCACCATCCTAGTGTGTGTCTGGGATGATAGCTCCACCATCCTAGTGTGTGGCCGTGATGACAGCTGCACCATCCTAGTGTGTGGCCGGAATGACAGCTGCACCATCCTAGTGTGTGTCTGGGATGATAGCTCCACCATCCTAGTGTGTGTCTGGGATGACAGCTCCACCATCCTAGTGTGTGGCCGTGATGACAGCTGCACCATCCTAGTGTGTGGCCGGAATGACAGCTGCACCATCCTAGTGTGTGTCTGGGATGACAGCTCCACCATCCTAGTGTGTGTCTGGGGTGATAGCTCCACCATCCTAGTGTGTGTCTGTGATGATAGCTCCACCATCCTAGTGTGTGTCTGTGATGATAGCTCCACCATCCTAGTGTGTGTCTGTGATGATAGCTCCACCATCCTAGTGTGTGTCTGTGATGATAGCTCCACCATCCTAGTGTGTGTCTGTGATGATAGCTCCACCATCCTAGTGTGTGTCTGTGATGATAGCTCCACCATCCTAGTGTGTGTCTGTGATGATAGCTCCACCATACTAGTGTGTGTCTGTGATAATAGCTCCACCATCCTAGTGTGTGTCTGTGATGATAGCTCCACCATCCTAGTGTGTGTCTGTGATGATAGCTCCACCATCCTAGTGTGTGTCTGGGATGATAGCTCCACCATCCTAGTGTGTGTCTGGGATGATAGCTCCACCATCATAGTGTGTGGCCGTGATGACAGCTGCACCATCCTAGTGTGTGGCCGGAATGACAGCTGCACCATCCTAGTGTGTGTCTGGTATGATAGCTCCACCATCCTAGTGTGTGTCTGGGATGACAGCTCCACCATCCTAGTGTGTGGCCGTGATGACAGCTGCACCATCCTAGTGTGTGGCCGGAATGACAGCTGCACCATCCTAGTGTGTGTCTGGGATGACAGCTCCACCATCCTAGTGTGTGTCTGGGGTGATAGCTCCACCATCCTAGTGTGTGTCTGTGATGATAGCTCCACCATCCTAGTGTGTGTCTGGGATGACATCTGCACCATCCTAGTGTGTGTCTGGGATGACAGCTGCACCATCCTAGTGTGTAGCCGGGATGACAGCTGCACCATCCTAGTGTGTGTCTGTGATGACAGCTGTACCATCCTATTGTATGTTTGTGATGACAGCTGCACCATCCTAGTGTGTAGCCGGAATGACAGCTGCACCATCCTAGTGTGTGGCCGGAATGACAGCTGCCTTATCCTAGTGTGTGTCTGGGATGACAGCTGTACCATCCTAGTGTGTGTCTGGGATGACAGCTGCACCATCTTAGTGTGTGGCCGGAATTACAGCTGCACCATCCTAGTGTGTGTCTGGGATGATAGCTCCACCATCCTAGTGTGTGTCTGGGATGATAGCTCCACCATCCTAGTGTGTTGCCCGAATTACAGCTGCACCATCCTAGTGTGTGTCTGTGATGATAGCTCCACCATCCTAGTGTGTGTCTGGGATGATAGCTCCACCATCCTAGTGTGTGTCTGGGATGACATCTGCACCATCTTAGTGTGTGTCTGGGATGACAGCTGCACCATCCTAGTGTGTGGCCGGAATTACAGCTGCACCATCCTAGTGTGTGTCTGCGATGACAGCTGCACCATCCTAGTGTGCGGCCGGGATGACAGCTGCACCATCCTAGTGTGTGGCCTGGATGACAGCTGCACCATCCTATTGTGTGACCAGGATGACGGCTGCACCTCAAAGTGTGTGGCCGGGATGACAGCTGCACCATCCTAGTGGGTGGCCGGGATAACAGCTGCACTATCCTAGTGTGTGGCCGGGATGACAGCTGTACCATCCTAGTGTGTGGCCGGGATGACAGCTGCACCATCCTAGTGTGTGTCTGTGATGACAGCTGTACCATCCTATTGTATGTTTGTGATGACAGCTGTACCATTCTAGTGTGTGGCCGGAATGACAGCTGCACCATCCTAGTGTGTGGCCAGGATGACAGCTGCCTTATCCTAGTGTGTGTCTGTGATGATAGCTCCACCATCCTAGTGTGTGTCTGGGATGACAGCTGTACCATCCTAGTGTGTGTCTGGGATGACAGCTGAACCATCCTAGTGTGTGTCTGTGATGACAGCTGCACCATCCTAGTGTGTGGCCGGAATGACATCTGCACCATCCTAGTGTGTGTATGGGATGACAGCTGCACCATCCTAGTGTGTGGCCGGAATGACAGCTACACCATCCTAATGTGTGGCCGGGATGACAGCTGCACCATCCTAGTGTGTGGCCGGAATGACATCTGCACCATCCTAGTGTGTGTATGGGATGACAGCTGCACCATGCTAGTGTGTGGCCGGAATGACAGCTGCACCATCCTAGTGTGTGGCCGGAATGACAGCTACACCATCCTAGTGTGTGTCTGTGATGACAGCTGCACCATCCTAGTGTGTGGCCGGAATGACAGCTGCACCATCCCAGTGTGTGTCTGAAATGATAGCTGTACCATCCTAGTGTGTGTCTGTGATGACAGCTGCACCATCCTAGTGTATGGCCGGAATGACAGCTGCACCATCCTAGTGTGTGTCTGTGATGACAGCTGCACCATCCTAGTGTGTGGCCGGGATGACAGCTGCACCATCCTAGTGTGTGGCCGGAATGACAGCTACACCATCCTAGTGTGTGTCTGGGATGACAGCTGCACCATCCTAGTGTGTGGCCGGAATGATAACTCCACCATCCTAGTGTGTGTCTGGGATGACAGCTGCACCATCCTAGTGTGTGTCTGTGATGACAGCTGCACCATCCTAGTGTGTGTTTCGGATGACAGCTGCACCATCCTAGTGTGTGTCTGTGATGACAGCTGCACCATCCTAGTGTGTGGCCGGTATGACAGCTGCACCATCCTAGTGTGTGTCTGGGATGACAGCTCCACCATCCTAGTGTGTGGCCGGAATGATAGCTCCACCATCCTAGTGTGTGTCTGGGATGACAGCTGCACCATCCTAGTGTGTGTCTGGGATGACAGCTGCACCATCCTAGTGTTTGTCTGTGATGACAGCTGCACCATCCTAGTGTGTGGCCGGGATGACAGCGGCACCATCCTAGTGTGTGGCCGTGATGACAGCTGCACCATCCTAGTGTGTGGCCGGGATGACAGCTGCACCATCCTAGTGTGTGGCCGTGATGACAGCTGCACCATCCTAGTGTGTGGCCGGGATGATAGCTGCACCGTCCTAGTGTGTGTCTGGGATGACGGCTGCACCATCCTAGTGTGTGTCTGAGATGACAGCTGCACCATCCTAGTGTGTGGCCGGGATGACAGCTGCACCATCCTAGTGTGTGTCTGGGATGACAGCTGCACCATCCTAGTGTGTGTCCGGAATGATAGCTCCACCATCCTAGTGTGTGTCTGGGATGACAGCTGCACCATCCTAGTGTGTGTCTGTGATGATAGCTCCACCATCCTAGTGTGTGTCCGGAATGATAGCTCCACCATCCTAGTGTGTGTCTGTGATGACAGCTGCACCATCCTAGTGTGTGTCTGGGATGACAGCTGCACCATCCTAGTGTGTGGCAGGGATGACAGCTGCACCATCCTAGTGTGTGGCCGGGATGACAGCTGCACCATCCTAGTGTGTGGCCGGAATGAAAGCTGCACCATCCTAGTGTGTGGCCGGGATGATAGCTGCACCATCCTAGTGTGTGGCCGGGATGACAGCTGCACCATCCTTGTGTGTGGCCGGAATGATAGCTGCACAATCCTAGTGTGTGGCCGGAATGATAGCTGCACCATCCTTGTGTGTGGCGGGGATGACATGTGCACCATCCTAGTGTGTGGCCGGGATGACAGCTGCACCATCCTAGTGTGTGGCCGGAATGACAGCTGCACCATCCTAGTGTGTGTGGCCGGGATGACAGCTGCACCATCCTAGTGTGTGGCTGGGATGACTGCTGCACCATCCTAGTGTGTGGCCGGAATGACAGCTGCACCATCCTAGTGTGTGGCCGGGATGACAGCTGCACCATCCTAGTGTGTGGCCGGGATGACAGCTGTACCATCCTAGTCTGTGGCCGGAATGACAGCTGCACCATCCTAGTGTGTTGCCGGGATGACAGCTGCACCATCCTAGTGTGTGGCCGGGATGACAGCTGCACCATCCTAGTGTGTGGCCGGGATGACAGCTGCACCATCCTAGTGTGTGGCCGGGATGACATCTGCACCATCCTTGTCGAGTTAGATGTGGCGAGTTATGAGTCGTGTTCACCTGAAACGACTTGTTCCCCTCCTTCTATGTTTTCCGCCTGAGCCGCTACCTGCAGGTTCAACCACCCTGCGATCACGAGACGTGTCTGGGAGGCAAGCCGACAGGGAACACCCAGATATCCTGTAAACCACTTTAGACAACCGTAGGCAGGTAGGCAGGTAGTTGTACCCCATCAGGACATGACACAAGCGATAAACACCATGAGGATAAGGATCACCGTGGAGAGGTCCCAGAAAGCACTTTCAGCCGTTAGGCTATATTTATGGCCCGGCTATGTTTAGGACCCCCGGCAAAAGCTAGGGTGGGGCTTCAAATAACAAACAATTGCATTCCACATGGGAACAATATTGTTTTATTCTGACTGACTGACTGACTGACTTTCTACCCCACCAGAACATCACACAAGCGATAAACACCCGATGACACAAATTGCCACCATGCCGATGAGGATCACCGTGGAGAGGTCCCAGAAACCGCGTTAAACAATTGGCCATTTTGATGACCTGCCTATATTGCGGCCAATGGCAAAACCCAGAGTGAGGTTTCAAATCACAAAACATTACGTCCTGAGAAGGACGTAAACAATGTCAGTACTTTTATTCTGACTGACTGACTGACTTTCTACCCCACCAGGAAAAGGACGAAATTTGAAATAATGTCATCTACTTTTTTTCTGCCGATAACCGTAGAATATACATATCGAGAAGCAGAGACAGGCAGCTAAATTATGTATGCGAGTGTATTTGTGTGTGTGTGTTTGGAAAGGGAGGGGAGAACCAGTTGAAAGTTCTAGTGCTGCCCACAAGCTGGCACTATTTGAGCCACTCCTGCAGTAGCCCAGCCCATCAATGTAGCCTTCGATCTCTGCTCACTTAACTTGTCCTCTCTTTTTGTTCTGTTGCCAAATCACCTCCCTTCTTCACACGACTTCAGCAAACGGGCAAAGAAACAACACCACCATAATAGATATTAAGGAGGAAAAAAAGCGTACAGTCCAAACGAGAGGCAGATTGGGGCAGCTTCTAGATGTAGATCGAATCTCCCCCGTTGGCGAAACTGGGACGTTTGTGGGCTCCACCTCGACAGATGATAATTATTATTAGCTCCCCTTGGTTGCAAAGAGAATATCCAAGGGAGGTAATTTGAGCGAAAGAAGCCAGGCCCCCGAGTTACATCCCTGTTTAATGGGATGTCAGTGGCAATGAGAAATTATAGCAGAGCTGTCAAGGCTGTGTGTCACGACACATTCGTGTTTCCGCTGTAGTGAGAACGTGTTACACGAATGTTTAACGTTCAACTTATGTCTGTTTCTCTTACACGTTGTTAGTTTATTCTCTGGCTTGCTACAAGACCACATTTGTGTGTACTGAAATGATGCTTGTCTAATAAAGTGTCACAAGCAGGAACAGGCTTGAAAGCTCTGAATTATTAAAAAAGCATTGAAGCAGCGCAAGTAAAAGTGCAATGCTGGGTGTGGTATTTGACATGAATAATGAAGAAATTGACAGAATCGTGCACTCGCTATTGATAAGCAATACCAATCTTCTATTGCATGTCGATATATTTTTGTACAGTCAATATTGACGCACAACAGCAAGAATTAACTGTATTCAAGCGTAAAAGATAATTTCATTTTTATATTGTTTAATTCAGTTTGTTTCTTATTGCGTACCGGAAAGTGTTTTGGTGACGTTGTGTCTGTTTACACGCAATGAAATGGTTTGGGTTTTACTCAAGTGATAAAAATACAATGTCTCGATCAACACACACATCATCTGGCACCGGTCATCTCCGCAGCTTGGAGAAATAGGAAGTGATGGACATTATTTCTAGAACACCCCTCCCCCCACCCCACACCCTCGCCGCCACACGCACACACGACTTCTGCAGTAGTCAGTAATGGGAGGTTGAGACGTTGTGGTTTACAGCTAGTCTGCGATATCAACATCACAACGGGCTGTGATTGTGCAAGTCTCACAACAGATTAATATCGTTTGGAAAGACAGAAAGGTGCCAACAAAAATGTAAACTGTGGTGATTTAACAAGTAAAGAACCATTTTCCACACCTTAGACCTATCGGGCATATAGGGCTAGAACTATGTTTGAAAGATCAATCGGCACTGGGCAGGTAATATGGCCAGCCTCACGCCGGCGGCCTTGACGTCCCTGGACTCCACCTAGTACCAATTCAAGGCTGGGTCGACCTGAGAGCTAATGTGATTTTTGACAAAATTTCTGCTCCGTCAGGATCCAAACCCCCGACCATCCGACCCCCAAGCAAGCAGTGGTCAGTCCTTGGTACTAGCAAAACACGGAGTTAACAGAGCAGAGGCATTTCTCAAACATCCCCAATTGCCGCTGTCTATTGATTTCTGACCAATCCTATTTCATCGTGTGCAAGCGATATTCAGCGGGATGTCGTCCAGCCAGACTACTCCGAGGCGGCAACCTAATAGATCTGGACCTTCCAGAGATCGGATCGAAGCAATATTTGTACATAGGGTATCAAGTCATCTGAAACTGAATATACCCGGACTGCGTGGGCTGGGGAGTCGTAGATTTATCTCCCCTGTCATTATTTACTTAGTAAAAATGTAGAGAAGAACCGTCTCGTTGTGGCAGAGTTATGGTACTTGCTCATGAATCATTGCTCGATTTTATTGGTCAGTTTTGGAGGTTTGACCCAGCCAAAAACTTTTTCTCCGAAGTCTGTCCATAGCTAAATGACATTCCCTTGATTCATGAACTGCTGTGCGAGTTATAAATGCATCTGTTGTGACACCCGCAGCACATTAAGATCCCGGGTTTGTATATCGTGGTGTCTGCCAAGTCCCAGCACTAAAAGCTGAACCGTGTTCCGATATAAACTTGGTCGGATGTCCAGAAATATACTTTCAGTTACATGATTGTAGGTGGCGAAACGGCTGGATGCCAGCTCTTAGGTGTTGCTGAGGGGGGATGGGGGTCAAAAACTGATCTTGACTCCCAGGACAACCCCTCCTTAAATGGGTCCTTGGTGCAGCTTGCTCCATGAAAATATGAGGTTAGCATATGACTGAAGCGCTGTAGGCGTGCCAATGATCTATTCCTGTTACTTTTACTTACATGTAACACAATTTAATGGCCGCTCAGAAAAAGGTAATAAAAAAAAAAAAAAAAAAGAGGGGAGGATTCCATCATGTTGGAAGTTCTTTGGAAAACGTCACTCTAATCCCGAACGCTACAAAGTCACTCGCCTCTTTGCCAATTTCCCTACCTCATACACGAGGTGTGGTCACATAAAACAGGCTTCAGTGGTTTTATTATAAACGCTTTAAATGTATTTTAGAAGGTGGTGCAAGTAGTCAGTAGACGGTGCCAGTAGTCAGTAGAAGGTGCCAGTAGTCAGTAGACGGTGCCAGTAGTCAGTAGACGGTGCCTGTAGTCAGTAGACGGTGCCAGTAGTCAGTAGAAGGTGCCTGTAGTCAGTAGACGGTGCCAGTAGTCAGTAGACGGTGCCAGTAGTCAGTAGATGGTGCCAGTAGTCAGTAGAAGGTGCCTGTAGTCAGTAGAAGGTGCCAATAGTCAGTAGACGGTGCCAGTAGTCAGTAGACGGTGCCAGTAGTCAGTAGAAGGTGCCTGTAGTCAGTAGATGGTGCCAGTAGTTAGTAGAAGGTACCAGTAGTCAGTAGAAGGTGCCAGTAGTCAGTAGACGGTGTCTGTAGTCAGTAGACGGTTCCTGTAGTCAGTAGACGGTGCCAGTAGTCAGTAGACGGTGCCTGTAGTCAGTAGACGGCGCCAGTAGTCAGTAGACGGTGCCAGTAGTCAGTGGATGGTGCCAGTAGTCAGTAGATGGTGCCTGTAGTCAGTAAACTATGCCAGTAGTCAGTAGATGGTGCAAGTAGAAAGGGGGGGGGGGGGGAATTCCATCATGTTGGAAGTTCTTTGGAAAACGTCACTCTAATCCCGAACGCTGGAAAGTCACTCGCCTCCTTGCCAATTTCCCTACCTCATACACGAGGTGTGGTCACATAAGTGGTTTTATTATAAACGCTTTAAATGTATTTTAGAAGGTGCCAGTAGTCAGTAGAAGGTGCCTGTAGTCAGTAGACGGTGCCAGTAGTCAGTAGACGGTGCCTGTAGTCAGTAAACGGTGCCTGTAGTCAGTAGACGCTGCCAGTAGTCAGTAGATGGTGCCAGTAGTCAGTAGAAGGTGCCAGTAGTCAGTAGACGGTGCCAGTAGTCAGTAGACGGTGCCAGTAGTCAGTAGATGGTGCCTGTAGTCAGTAGATGGTGCCTGTAGTCAGTAGACGGTACCAGTAGTCAGTAGATGGTGCCTGTAGTCAGTAGACGGTGCAAGTAGTCAGTAGATGGTGCAAGTAGACAGTAGATGGTGCCTGTAGTCAGTAGATGGTGCCTGTAGTCAGTAGACGGTACCAGTAGTCAGTAGATGGTGCCTGTAGTCAGTAGACGGTGCCAGTAGTCAGTAGATGGTGCAAGTAGACAGTAGATGGTGCCTGCAGTCAGTAGATGGTGCCTGTAGTCAGTAGAAGTTGCCAGTAGTCAGTAGACGGTGCCAGTAGTCAGCAGATGGTGCCAGTAGTCGGTAGAAAGTGCCAGCAGTCTGTAGATGGTGCCAGTAATCAGTAGATGGTGCCAGTAGTCGGTAGAAAGTGCCAGCAGTCTGTAGATGGTGCCAGTAATCAGTATATGGTGCCGGTAGTCAGTAAAAGGTACCAGTAGTCAGTAGACGGTACCAGTAGTCAGTAGATGGTGCCTGTAGTCAGTAGACGGTGCCAGTAGTCAGTAGATGGTGCAAGTAGACAGTAGATGGTGCCTGTAGTCAGTAGATGGTGCCTGTAGTCAGTAGACGGTACCAGTAGTCAGTAGATGGTGCCTGTAGTCAGTAGACGGTGCCAGTAGTCAGGAAATGGTGCAAGTAGACAGTAGATGGTGCCTGCAGTCAGTAGATGGTGCCTGTAGTCAGTAGCAGTTGCCAGTAGTCAGTAGACGGTGCCAGTAATCAGTAGATGGTGCCAGTAGTCGGTAGAAAGTGCCAGCAGTCTGTAGATGGTGCCAGTAATCAGTAGATGGTGCCAGTAGTCAGTAAAAGGTACCAGTAGTCAGTAGACGGTGCCAGTAGTCAGTAGACGGTGCCAGTAGTCAGTAAATGGTGCTTGTAGTCAGTAGATGGTGCCTGTAGTCAGTAGACGGAGCCAGTAGTCAGTAGATGGTGCCTGTAGTCAGTAGACGGTGTCAGTAGTCAGTAGACGGTGCAAGTAGACAGTAGATGGTTCCTGTAGTCAGTAGATGGTGCCTGTAGTCAGTAGAAGGTGCCAGTAGTCAATAGACGGTCCCAGTAGTCAGTAGACGGTGCCAGGAGTCAGTAGAAGGTGCCAGTAGTCAGTAGATGGTGCCAGTAGTCAGTAGATGGTTCCAATAGTCAGTAGAATGTGCCAGTAGTCAGTAGATGGTACCAGTAGTCAGTAGAAGGTGCCAGTAGTCATTAGATGGTTCCAATAGTCAGTAGATGGTACCAGTAATAAGTAGACGGTGCCTGTATTCAGTAGATTTTGCCAGTAGTCAGTAGATGGTTCCAATAGTCAGTAGAAGGTGCCAGTAGTCAGTAGATGGTACCAGTAGTCAGTAGAAGGTGCCAGTAGTCAATAGAGGGTTCCAGTAGTCAGTAGATGGTACCAGTAGTCATTAGACGGTACC